TCAAGCAGCAGAGAGTAGCAAACGTCCTGGATGCAAACAGGTGATAAAAGCAGATAAGAGAGATGACAAAATTAAGAAAATAAAGACCACTGTTATAAAGATTTATAGAACAGCTAAAGCAGAGCAAAATAAATGATAACAAATGCCGATAAAAAGAAACGGGGCACTGGCCATATAAACACGCAGGAAACTTCAATGCTTCTGTATAGTACTATGACACTGCTTTGTTTACACCAGCATTGACCTTTTGCTCCCCAAGGAGTTTATTAACCATCTTGGTCTTTTTTTTGTGTTGCTTTACTCATCAAGAGAAAGTTGTACAGGGTTGATTCTGATGAATGGCTTTTTCGGAAAGTCAAGTTATCCTTGACTAGATGCAGATGGCCTAGTAAAAAATGAATGCTGCCAGCAGACATTGTCTTTATCAGTAGTAAAAGTTCAGCAGGGACTAGACTTCCTCATCTCTGGCCAGAGAAACCCAGCCTTCTGTTTCAGCACCATATCACATATTGTCCTAATGAATTCTTGTAACACACTGCAGCCCAGATAAATATGCTTATATTAATGTTTTTTGGCAGTCTGGGGCATGGTACAGAATTGACACAAGTGTTTGGCTTCTGCCTGAAGCAGACACCAGGAATTTACACAGCTTAGAAATATTAGCCTGTCGTAGGGCTGTCTGTGCTGCGCCGTGACCCTCGGGCCTGCAGGCTGCAGCTCATCCTCCCGCTGCCCTCGCAGGCACGGCCGCGCTCCAGCCCCGCGCAGCCCTTCCTTCCTTCCTTCCTTCCTTCCTTCCTTCCTTCCTTCCTTCCTTCCTTCCTTCCTTCCTTCCTTCCTTCCTTCCTTCCTTCCTTCCTTCCTNCCTTCCTTCCTTCCTTCCTTCCTTCCTTCCTTCCTTCCTTCCTTCCTTCCCTCCTTCCCTCCTTCCTTCCCTCCTTCCTTCCCTCCTTCCCTCCTTCCTTCCCTCCTTCCCTCCTTCTTTCCCTTTGCCTCCTTCCTTTTCCCTCCTTCTTTTTCCTTCCTTCCACAACACCATGGAAACTGAGTCGAGCTCCAGTCTCTGAGCAGCCCAGTGGATGCACACCAGGGCACTGTCCTTGGGTGATTCAAGCTTTTCCTTTCTCTGTTCTTTAGTGATTCCTTTTGCAGGAATAGGAGCACAGACCTCTCCGCTTGGGAGATGCCGAGCAGTGCGGGATTTGCAGAGACTCCCTCTTCAGAGCAAGAACCACAGCGCCGGCAGCCTCAGCAGGCCCAGCGGGACGCGAGATAACTAAGAACGGCTTTCAAGCTCTCGGTCATTCCGGGCGATGTCCCACATTCCCACGGGGACAAGCGCTGGAGGGGCAGCAGCAGCCCGGGCTGGGCCATCTAGCGGCTGCCCRTCAGAGGAGGGCTGGCTGGGCTCCGTCCTGCCGCGCCGTGCAGAAACCCTCTCTGTCTGCCTCCAGTGTGCCTCTGCTCCGCAGCCGCGCCTCTAATTTAACCTTCCATTTAGCATCTTCAGAGCCTTGGCTTTAGAGGCCTCCAGTGTGGCTTTGGGCCCCTTTGTGGCAGCCTTGCCCACTGCCCGCTGCTGTTAGCACCGGCACGAGAGCCGTGTCGCTGCCGGCCTGGGGCAGGCACCCCGCGCTGCAGAGCAGCTCCTCGGCGGCCTGCAAGCCAACCTCTCTGCAGCAGCAGCAGCAGCAGCAGCCGTCAGTGCTGCTTGCACAGCCACCGATAGTGGAGAAGTGTGTTTTATTTGTAGATGCTGTGGCTGGTTTCCAGCGCCCGGCTCCCGCCCCGGGGCCGTGCCGCGCTGCTGCCCCTGCCCTGGCGCGGCGGCGGCCGCCCCGCGCGCCCTTTGAGGCCGTGGAAGTTCAGCCCTGTATCTTGTGGCATGCGGCACAGGCTGCGCTGGCAAKCCCAGGCAGCTCTGTTCCTCCCCATACTGCAGGTAGCCTTTCCTAAAAAAAATAAAAAAGTGTTTTTTCTTTTGTCATCTCTTTATGCGCTCCGCACTGTAACACGGGAAGACAAAGCTGCCCACGCACAAGGTCCTCACAACCTGCTTTCCAGCCGGGCAGATCCCTACGGAAGCCGGGGCGGTGCCTGGGAGAGCACCCAGAGAGGCGGCCGCAGTCGGGCTCACCCTGGCCCCGGGCTCACGCTGGCCCCGGGCCGCTGACCGCCGTGCCCGGCCGCCCCGTTATCGCAGCTCTGCCCCCGGTTTTGTCACTGTATCCTTCAATCCCCTCGCTCCCCATAAAAGTGTCTAGCTGTCTCTTAAACTCACTTTACCATTTGCTGCTTTGACCTCACTTGGCAACTTATCCTTGTGTTTATTATTGGAGGTGGAATAGTTCTGGCTACATTCCTGGTTTTGCTCTTAATTGTCTAATTTTTAGAATGTGTCAGTGGGGTTGGGATTTGGGTTGGTTTTTGTTCTTTTTCTTAAACTAATCACTCTTGCAAGCAGGTCTTCAGTTTCATTAGGCTCCTTCACATTATCAGGACTTCCCATAGCTAAAAGGATTCTAAGGAATCTTTTATTGGATCTTCCCAGATATCGCAGCTGCCCTCTCATCCACCAGTGCTGTTCTGAACTGCAACGCTGCCCTTAGTCACCTTTTTGTTAAGCAGGGGGATGGATTTTCCCTGAGCAAGGAAGAGTTTCCCGAGCGCTTCCYGCTGCCCACAGGCGCCCATTGAAGCACCTACCTCCATCTCCAGGCAGTTCTCAGCTGCTTTAAGGCTGCTTGGTGGAGCACTGAAATGAATCCTACTGACACCCTGAAACAGATAGGCCTGGTTGGAGCAGCTTCTAAAACAACTAACCTAACCCACCATAGGAAGAGGAGCAAATAATTCAATTTTCCAGCTCCCCTATTCCCTTACAGATATAAACATGTACATCTAGAGGCCTGACTGCTTTCAGAACGGTTCCCCTTGCAGCAAGGTGACTTCTTGGGACCTGTTGTTCACACAGTACAGTTTGTAGCCTTAAGAAGTACAACATGTACCGAAAACATGACCATGTTGCTAAAATTTAGTAATTTTAAGTCTTGTTTTCCTAAAGTCAAAGGAACATGTAGCTGAATTCACTTACCTTGGAAAAAATGGTGCAAGTGAATCCCTTGAATCCCACCTGGTGTCATCAGAGAGAGGCGTTAACAGGTTCCTTTTCYTACCTAACACGTTGCATATGCATCATAGAGCAACAAGAAGTACAAGTGTTTTCAGTAAAGGCAGCTTACCTTGCTGACAGACTCTTGAAAAGAAGAACATGAAGACCGTAAAATGACATGTCTCATGACAAAGACTGTAAAAAGGCTAAAGAATACAAAAAATGAATCTAGCAAACACTTACCATTGTCTGCACTGCACTCTCACTGTTGGGGGCTGTAATGATCATCAAACACTAGTGTACCAAGAAATACTTTCACTGGAGAAATGGTGACAGTAAAAGCAAAAGGACAGATACTCTGTCACTTATCAACCCCCACTTCATTTTTATAGGCATCTACCAATATTATTTGGCCCACAAATCACTAAGCAGCAAAACCACGTCCTTAGTTACGTTCAGGTCACCAGAAGCCTGGGCTATGCTGTGCTCTAGTTATGGTTTTATTGCAGAAGCAAGAGTTTTATTTGTGCGTGACAACTGGAGGTTGGTGGGGACTTTGGGCTTTTAGTATAAACATTTCTGTCAGATGTCTACTTTGTCTGCAGAGTGAAGAACAGATTCTGTTATAGTTGGAGGCCACTGCTGGGTAAATTGGAGGGCACTGTTGTTAAGGCTGAACTTTCAAGAAAGCAGGAGGAGCTGCTCTCTTTTTTAATTCTATGCCGTTTTATATGCACCGTTCTCTCCAAATATTTGATGTTTGCCACACTTGTTATGAGTTTCTCCAGAGAGATGCTGTCTTCTGGCAGCCAAAGATAAAGTTGACTGATACAAATGAGCCGCAGTACCCCAACAGTAATTAGCCGTGATGCAATACCCAGGCGAAAAAGGAGACTTGAAGAATTAACTGTTGACTTTTCTGGACGATGCAGCTGCACTTTAAGAGAGAAAGCTCAACCCATCATAGAACTCCATTGTGTACATTAGAGAAAAAAAGCTTGGCAAGATACATTCAGGATTTTTGCTAAAGAGATACAAATATTTTGCAAGGTCAAAGGGCACCAAGGCAGGCTGTACTTACTTCCAGAGAAAAGCAGGCAGAATGACAAAGAATCAATTTTTTTTTTATCTTCATTTTCACACTTCATCATCTAAGAAAGACTGTCTTTTTCAACCTGCTGAAGTGATTTAAGACACACTGACTCTGAGTTAACTTTTACTTAAAAGTCAGTCTATGGCATCCTAATCTAAGAAGTTATCTGTGCTCATGGTTTCCGCGCGGTTCTACAGAAGGCCAGTACTTCTATTTTTAAACTGGATTTTACTATGCTGTAAAGTTCTTTCACAAATCTTACAGGTCTGAAGAAAGGGAATACTTTTGGAAGAAGACGAACGATTGAAGCAACTGTTTTATAGCACAATATGAAACTCGACACTGTTTTCTGTTGCCAGTATGATTCCCAAGTGAGATGGATAAATTGTGGTCAAGACCTGGACAGGTTAACTAGTGGTCATCAGTGCTGGTGGTACCTTTATATACAAAAAAAAGAAAAAGAAAAAAAAAAAAGATACTATTGGACAGGGCATTTGAAATTTAATACCAGAGATGAAACAAGACATCTGTTGGACTCTCATTTGTTTCTCTTTGAATGGGCTTTAATTGAAAGCTCAGTGAAAAATGCAGGTTACATTCTTAGTGTTATCAATAGTTTGTAACAGCAACAACATCAGAACAGTGATGCATCTAATATTTATACACTTTTCTAATTTTAGATGTCTAAGAGCAATACATTATCAGATATATATATACACACAATTTCAAGCAATTAAAAGTAAATAATAAACCCCTCCTCCCGAAACCCTGAAACAATATATTTCCTTACACTAATAATGTCTTTTTCACATATACTTGACAAAGAGTCTTTTTAAGTTACTTATCTTAAGAGTAATCTGTTAATGGAGATCCTGGACCAGCCCCATTAAAGTTCAGTTTTAAGTTTATACAGCTTGCTAGCCACATAACCAGTGTGGCTTTACATTGTAAACGAATCCCAAATGTCTACAATGATTGGAATTAGTTTTGCGTAAAGGAGATCTATAYGTCTCATGATGGAATAAATTTAAACCAATACATTTAAAAGAGACAGAGAAAGAGAGAGTTATTTGACACACAAATCAGTTGTTAGGGATCAATTATGCGATTATTTAAAGAACAAGTTAACTTCATGGTAAGATTCTTGTTTTCTGTACAGAGAGGTATTGGTTCAACTAGTTTTAGCTGCTCTAGAAATATGTTCTTTAAAAAAGCTAGATTTGTGAAATTCAAAAGCTGAGCTCCCGGCTTTAAAAGCTTGTGCTTTAGCAGTACAAGTACAAAGGTTACCAAAAGTATCTCAGATGGCTGTTCTGTCGTAGGATAGCTCACGTTTGGAAACTTCAGCATATGCACAAATGCAGCAAGCATAAAGCTTACCTTGAGTTGGGACAGGCACCCTACTCACGGCAGGACTGAGAAAGGTACAGTAATATGTACCTAGGAAAGTTCAAGTAAAAATTAAAGCAGGAAACTGGAAGCAGACATCCAAAGTAAGCGTCATTTATAGTGATGCTGAAACTGTGGAAATCTTGCTCGCTTTTTAGTAAAGTCACAAATAAAAATCTCTCAAACTTATTGAATAGGAAATTTTTCAGTCAAAATGGCAGACAAGGGTGAGCAGAATCCTACGGGTTAGTTAACTTGTGCCAAGTGCGTTGCGAGGACGGCCGCAGCCTTCTGACAGAGGTGACCGAAGATGGCTGAGAAAGTTTGCAGTAGCTCATAATGTCCCATCTGGTTTAATCCCTTGTCTGAACTGTCTAAAGAGCCAACTGCAGCTTAGTCATGTTCCTCTGGTGCATGTTGTGATGACGAACTAATTCATCAGACCTGGCAAATTTTTTTTGACAGCTGGGCCACCGGCAGCTGAAAGGCTTTTCACCTGTTAACAAAACACCCTGTTATTAAGCGGGTTCGCAGCCTGCTGAGACCCCGCGACTCGCTCCCGTTGGGAGGCGCTTGGCCAGGCTGGGTGTGCGGCAGCGCCCTGCGCTCCCGCGCGCCTCTGTGCCCAGCACTCCGCTTCTGGCCCGGCCGGAGCCGAGCAGCAGCCGCGCCGGGCGCGCAGCCATCCTYGGGAAGGGCCGCAAGCGATCCCTGGGAAGGAGGGCCAGGCTGGAGCGCGCAGCTCCGAGGTGCCCAGCAGCACTGCCGAGCGCGCTGCACCAGCAGCGCTGCCCGGGGCGCGACATGGAGTCACGGGGAGCGGTCCCGGCACGTTCAGCTCGTTCCTTGGAACCGGTGAGCGCAAGTGAAGGGGGCAGGAGCAACAGGGTTCAGCATGAAGTCTGCTGAGCCACACRGGAAGTTTCCCATTACTGTCAAAACAGAGATTTGAGAGGCCCAAAATATTTGGTATTTCTCTAGCATTCCAACAAATATACTCTTCACTAAAAATGAAGCCCAGGGAAAGAACATACAATTTTAACAAGAAATGCCATCACTTTCTTAGAGTGCCATCTGCTCTCTTGATCTTCTACAACACCTAAGTGGAATTTCAGACCGTGTCTCTGATGCTGCAGGAATGCTGCAGGAATGCTTTCATTAGCTCAGAGCAATGCCTGGTGACTCGTGTTTCTTTCAGATTTTCATTTTCTTTCTCCTCAAGTAGATGCAATACTTTAAAGCAGGTTCAGCTCTGGGCCTGGCCTCTTCCATGCTGTSTACACACCTCGTACCTCCAACTCAAGACACACTGGAGTGGGATGAGCTCACCCAGTCATCTTCTTCTCTTCTTTGCCTCACATTTTGTGCGTGTCACAAACATCCAGTTTCAGGCAAAAGGGGATCTGGGATGGGCATAAATGTTGTGTATTTCTGTTTGTAAAATCCCATGCAATAAAGAGATTATACAAGTGGGGTGGAGCTGTTATAATCTACTTTATCCACTTAACATACACGCTTGCAAAAGCATCAACCATCTCACTTGAGTGCATAAACCAGTATGGGACAAAGCTGATCTGCTTACGATTACTGATAGGAATCACAGATTGCATAAAGTGGCCTCCTTTCATCTCCGCAGCACTAGGCAAACCATCCTGTGAACTGATGTGAGTTATCTACAGCTCGTAGCTTGTCGCTGAACCACCACAGCACAGGCAGCACGGAGCTGTGGGGCCTGACAAGCAATTCTGGTTCTCCTCTGCAACAGGGGGCAGCAATCTCTACTAATCCTGCACTAGGCACGGAATAGTCCGTACAGCTTTCCCGTGCAGACATCAGAAATCATATTTCTATTGCTAAAAAATGTGTAGAGTTTTCCTTTGGTTTTGTTGCTGTTTTCAAAAGCAAAGTTTGCTACCACAGTTAACTAACTCAGTAATGGGCACAGTTTGGGCTCGGGCCRTAAGAAAGGACTAAAACAGATTACTAGAAAAAAAGAACCAGTTCTTGTTCCTCTCTGATTTAGGTCAGCTGGGGTCTGACTTGCTGAAGTCAGACCACTGCGGAGTCTTCACATGAGTTAGCAGACGAGGCAGCAGTGCAATGTGCTGGGGAACACGGTTTATCCTGACAGGTGGCCTGGGGAAACCGGGAGCCCGGGAACACAGCCATGCCCGTTACCGTTCGCAGGTCGCGGCTGCACACGTGGCCGTTACTTGACGCATTTCTGTGGCTGGCTCCAGGGGAGGTCCCATGACTCTCAGGTTAATTATGTCCTTCATGAAAATTTCTAATTTGTTCGAGTCTTAAACATGCATCTCTCATGGTCCACAGGAGAACAAAAGAATATTTAGCAGGGAGAAAAAGACTTTCAGGCTCCTTGTCTACCAGTGCAGAGACACATTTTCAAAGGTTAATCCTAACATAAAATACTGTGGCATCTACGAAGAGCGAAGTGACATTGTTTCCTGACAAATATGATCTCAATTCTTTTTAAAATAAGCTAGCATGTCGAAGTGCTTAGTAAAAAAAAAAAAAGGAATCGGTAAAAATAGCGAATATGTCCTGCGAGGGAATATAAAATGTTTATTCMTAAGAACAATTCTAAAGTTACAGTCAAAATACAGAGGTTGCTGCAGTTGCTCCTTAATAGTGTTCACATTTATGTGCACACAGAGCAGACTAAAATAGCCTCCCACTTTTTCTGTATTTCTATGAGTTACTATGGTTTCTACAAAAAGAATGGATATTTGAGTAGGCTTTTACTTCAGTGTCTGTCAATGTGAGTTTGCAAGAGGCTCTCTTTTTATCTTCTGAAGAGATTGCAGCACAAGGAGCAACAATAAGAGCTTTGCCATGATATCCTGCATTAGACTCAAGTGACACTTAGGGGAAGCATGAGTAGTTATGAATACCTTAGATTACAGGCCTTCTGCTGAAGCTAGAATTAAAACTTCTGTCTTGTAGGTTTTTGCAGAAAAGCAGTAGATCAGCTTCAGATTTGTGATGTTTGTTTCACAATAGTTGACAAAATATGTTATGCCAAGCTGAAATTTCTTAAAACATTAAATAAGAATGTGTAGTTTCTAAAATTACCTAAATCCCGTTTTGAAAAGTAACTATAACATTTAGGGACTATAGTCACATTATAAAATCATTAGGCTCTAAAATGTTTTCTGTAGTTTTGAATATTTAACCCCTCATTAGGAGATCTTCTAATCATTTAACTTATAATAACAATAATTTAAACATAATAAATGATGAAATATAAATGTGAAGAAAAGTTTACGCACTTGTTTTACCTGTATGAGTCCTGGTGTGAGTTTTCAGGTGATCAGATCTGGAGAACTTTCTCTGACAGGTTTTACACTGGAAGGGTTTTACACCTGAAGAGATACAACAAGTCTCTTGTCATATTCCCTCCCTTTTGGTAGGGAGAATGACCCAGCTACGCCTGAGTTTTCAAGAATCTGGATGTTTTTGTGCTAGTTCCTGTAAGTGCTCCTCCCAGCTCCGTGCCTCCGCATTACACAAAGCCGTTAATCAGCCTGCCATACGTAACCCCTTTGCAACCTCCCTTTCCTGCATCTGTCTCTGAAGTGTCCAAACTGCAGCAGCGTAAACAAACACCCACTTGCGCCTGCTGGTCCAGGGCAGCTCTGCAAGCTTCATTATTCTTTATTCTACCCACCCCACAACCAGGACACYAACTGCCAGGGCACTTCCCTGAGAGCCAGGAGACACAAGCTCACTTTCCCCTTCCCTCAGCCAGAGGAGCAGCRGAAACCACGTCCAGCCTTCCCTTTTCCACCCCTCCTTTCCACATGCAGTCCCGCCACCTTCTCAAGTTAGGCATCTGCAGCACTTATGTAATTGGCTATCCCACCCAAACACCAGACAATCAACTGCAGTTTCTGTCTGGCTACTTGTGGGCAAATTGTTCTTGCAGAAMTGCTTGCTTTTTAAAACTGTATTTCCTATATTGGAGATAACAGTACAGAGCAGTTCCACTTAAAAAGCTGTTTCAAAAAGGTGGCTGCTGGGTGGAAAGGTCACATATACAAGCACATTCCTGCTGGAATGACAGGAGAAACAAAAGGCACAGTCCCCTACTAAACTGAATTTAAGAATAAATCTTTGCAGATAACTCACATATAAAGATGAAATCTAAAGAGGAGGGAGGTGTTGCCAACAGACCTGTGTGTCGCCTTTGGTGCCGTTTGAGTTGGTCTGAACGAGAAAATCTTCGTTCACAGTCCTTAAAATCACACTGATAGGGCTTTTCACCTGTAAAAGATAAATGGTTTATTAGAAMATATGCCTAAACTGGGGAATACGTTGTCTAGAATCCGGCGAGAAAAAAYGTATTACATTAAAATATTTGATCTTCCTTCCTTTCTAAAGCAATCTAGAGTTAGGCCAGATTCTCATTTGATATAAAACTATGTAAMTGTATCAGAATCACTGCGGAAAGGCTGGGGAAATAGCTAATTATACTACACTGTCTCTGATCTCAAATCTCTTTGCTCTAAAAAAATGGCCCATTAGGTTAAAATCACAAAAACTATGTTGCATGAAAAGCATTTTATTTTTCTGCTAGAAACCATTTTGTTTTCTGCTAGAAAAGAACCAAAATGTCTTATTCAATAATTTGCAGAAAACCTTAGTCAGCTCTTTGCATGTCTTTCAGAGAGCTAGAATTCCTGCAAGGGAACAAACTTGCAGTTTGCTCGAAATTGGATTTGAGGCAAAAACTAAACCAAAGACATCCATGCAGCTGGTAATTTACTTACTCTAAGCAAGCTATAAGAATAACAGAGACAAATGCAAACACAGAAACATGCACATTCTCCCCCAAACCTTAAATGCTGTTTCTTCCACAAGGTGCCATTGCACAGAATTTTGCAGGCAGCTGCCCCCTACCCCCAGGCAATCCTGTGCATTATTCCCAAGCCACATGTACATGGAGGAAACCTCCTCCACCCTCTGTATAGGTCAGTGGAGAATCTCAGGGTATGTTCTGTCCAGGAACAACAGTGAGCTTCTGAGGCAAAAAAAAAGAACTCAAATCCATAAGAAATAGTGCCCCAAAAGAACATGACTTTCAAAGCGATGGGCTTCGGCAGCCACACAAATCCACAACGAGAATGCAGCGTGGAAGGAAGGAGCTGAGGGTCCCAGTCACAGCGGGAGCCGAGCGGCCTCTCAGACCCGATTCTCATGCAGACTAAGGCCCCTCGCGCCGCAGCGCGGTCCCGCGAGAGCCTGCGGTGCACCCCGCTACCCGAGCAGCTGCACAGAGCCCCTGTGCGGTGCTGCTGTGGCAGAGCTCCCGTGAGGACTGATGACAGTGCTCAGAGCAAAGCGGGGAGGATCCTGCCTTCTCTCTGCAAGCTGCGGGCTGGAGCAGCTGGCACCTGCTGCTCCGCTGCGGGATGCTGGCCTGTTACATGGAATCCAGCAGGAAGCACCTACGGGAAAAYGAGTGCTGGAGAAAATAAGGGAAGGTGAGCTTGGCTTCTCTGTGTATTTTGAAACTAATAATGCTTCCAAAAAGCTTCAGCAAAAACACTGGCCTTTTTTTTTTTTTTATTAAATTATGGTGAGGAGAAGGGKTTTTTTGGCACCAGTTGCATCTTGAATGAGAAGTGTATCTTCTGAGCTACAGCGAAGGAAGATGGCTGTGATGCCATTTTATTCTTGTGCATGATTTATGTAAGTAGATTGGTCTGTCATATAAATATTTGTTTGGAGCTAATCATTAGGATAGTGGGATGTGGCAGGATTTAAGAGCTTAGAGACATTTATCCTTTTGAAAGAATTTTTCTGGATGGTGTTTAGATATTGTGTAAGTACTATTACAGAATCAATTGAAAGGTTTCTTAGTAGATCTGCACTATATCTGCACAGAACTCTGTTCTAAGATACCAGTGCAAACTGTTTTAGTTTAAAGGCAGAAGCCTTCTGATGTGGGTAACACAGTATAAACAGCATCTTAAAAAGAGCATTCCAAATTTCTAATAGTGTRGCTAAGATCAAAATTTCACAATAGCAGCTAAATCTGCTAGAACAACTTACGCTGCTGTGACAGTCACCCAAAAGAGTTTACAGACTCTCAGATTTAGGTGTGGACTATTTCCATTCTGCTCTGCTTAATTTATTAACATAAGGGATTACAGTTGCCACAAGTGTTTAAAATAATTCCCCACGCTTTGACCACAAGGACTCCCTCGGGGGTGCCTGCTTTTCCGAAACCACTTACTCCCAAGGAATTCAGCCCTTTGGCAGATTTAAGAGGGGAATGTCAGCAGAGCAGAGTGCAGTGACAGGGTGATTGTCTCCTAATTGCAATATAAATGCAGAAGACAGGGAGGTATTTGAATAAAACAGTATAGCAGGTCTGATGGCAGGCATCTTAAAGTTTTCTTTAAATATTTGAAATACAACCTGGATTAAATTCAAGACAAATTTAACCAGAGCATGTAATCAATCCAGTATGCTTACACAGAGCTATGTCAACACTGCATACAAAACAAAAGCAAACAAACAGAAACAGGCACRATATTCGGACAGAAACCCTAGTTTCTCTTTCCTTCTGCGTGCTCAGGATGAGCTGGTGGCAGGCGAAACGCCTGCTGAAACCTCCTGTCCTGTAATCGTTCACTTCCACAAGCTTCATGAGAACAGGATGGCAAAAAAAGCCTAATTAGAAAGAGCCTGTTGGTGCCTCGTTAAACCACTGCGCAGAAAGTTCTAGGGCAGTGTCTGGTTTCTCACAGATCCACTAGAGCCTTCCCAGTAGCAGTCTTAGGTCTCTCAATAGATGAAAAATAYTCCATCATATAGTCACATTCCTGTATGACCAGAGACACATAGACATTAAAAAAAATAAAAAGAGGAGATGCTGATGACCTTTCACCAGTCCTTTCTCCTACGACACTGAAGTTTTTCTGATTATTTCAATTTAATTGCTAAAAGAGAGAACACAAAAYAAAGTTTAAACTCAGTGCATAATGAAATAGTCAAGATGGGAGAGGCAATTTTTTGATATTTAGAAAAATAAAGCTCAGCAATAACAGCACARGTGTGATTCAGCCTTCGCATTAATGCAGTCAACACTTTCAATAAAGTAAAACTATTTCCTCAAAGAGGGCTAAGTTAAAAAAAGAGCAAGCTCACACACTTTCTGAAATTCCTACTACTACACCTATTGCACAAAATATTCCTCCTACCCATTTCATCTGACTAAGGAGCACTGGAAGAACAAAAGCCTGCTGCTCACAGCAAAGCATCAGGAGCAGGGGTGATCCTGAAACCAAAGCCTGTGGCCTGTAAGTGTGAATGTGAATCTGGAGGCTTGCCTGTGCTCACGTGTACACGCACTGAATCAACCTGCCCAACCCCTTGGTCACAACTTCACTGCACTGCTACAGCACATTCCCGTTCGACCTTCTTTCTGTATTTAGCAAAGAGGCTTTACAGGTGAAGTTTTCTATCACCTTCACATGGGGTTTCAGGTATAGAGGGATGTTACTGTAGTACAACTAAACTCTTGTTTTAAATCCTTCAGACATTAAAGCCTAGGAATGATCCTAGGTAAGGCCAYAGGTCCATCCTGCCCTGTGGTCTCCCACACTGGAGCACCAAGAGTGCTCACAGGAGAACGGAACAGGGCAAAAAGCCGTCATCCTTTCCCTGGCCACTCTCCCAGGATCCAAGAGTCACAGGCAGAGGAGTGGAGCTCTGTCTTTCAAAGGAGTTTTAATGACGAACTAATGACTGTAAGAGGTTTTGCAGCACAGTGACAAGTGTCATCGTAAAAGGATATTTGCTTTAGTCAAAGCAATCAGTATTAGATGATGAGCACAAGAATGATTATTTGGCTACATTCTTTACACCCATTAGAGCCTCTGAATTTCACCACCAAGAGCTGAGAGAGCAGCCACACAAAGGGTGAAGTCCCGAGTTACAGATTCTCCATTTTCCTTATGGAAACTCGCAGTTGCACTTGAGCATGTTTAGGCTGAAGGATGTGTGTGGCACGAGGGCTCAGCACACTCTCCTGTGGAGAAGCTGTTCTTAGCTAGGGTAAATCCACAGTGCTTCCAAAGTGTGGCGCTGCACTCAAAAGGCCTGAGGCAGAATGGTGATGTTTCCACCACAAATGAAATTCAGGAAAGTTTAGACATAAATTTGCTTCCACAAMGAAATCTCTGAAGTCTACCAGAGGATAACGAGCCACTATTTTAATGGCTGCACTGTTGAAAAGTTATATGTATTTCTACATTTCCCTTAGGAGGCCTATCTGCCGCAGCAAAATATACCACGATAAGAGAAAGTCTTTTTGGCTGTACATGTTTCAATAAAGGCCTTGTTAACAATGGATAAGCAGTCTTAGAGGGTACAAAATGTCAACATATTTTCAAATAAGTCTATGTTGAAACACTGGTAAAAAACGATTACAGGATCCAATTTTGTGTTGTAGAGCCCTGTTTGATTTTGCAATACTGCAACTRGTGAACATAAGATCTAAGGCAGTCCTCTGTAAATATGATAGAAAGGAAAAGACAGTCAAGAGCCAACGTTGCCATGTAACGATACTACCTGCTGTTTTAATATTAGATATATGCAACTGTTTGCAAGTATTATTACAAAGTACTGATGTACCATTAAACTAAGGTGGAAGAGCTTCAGTCCCACGAGTTACTGCAGAAACGTAAGACAGAACATTTTGGCCATAAAGAGCTATACGAAACACAAGGAAACTATGCTATAAGTATCCTATTATATAAAGGTGTCAGTGTATCCTGACAGCCTCRCTCCAGTGACACCACCCCCTTACTGACCTCGTCATCCTGGTCCCTTAAGATACCCCTCACACATAAAAACAGACAGGTGGAGAAAGAAAAAAAATAAATAAATAAAAGAAGGTGCAGAGAAGTGTGAACTGTAGTTGTCAAAACTGTTACCAATAGCAAGACAAACACAGCAGTTTGCTGATCAGCCCTTGGAGAAAGTTGGTTCCCAAATTTTGCTTTCAGGCATCAGCTTTTCCACATGAAAAATCTGAAAGTGACGGTTGGATGGCCAAGGAGAGACAGGGTGATACAGGAGAGCCTGGAAATGGGTTCTCTAAATACGGGCTTCCCTATGCACTCCTGAAGATTATGGGATTGAAAAGGACCATATTATGGGATTGAAAAGGACCGTACGGCCACCATGTCCAGATTCTTTATGATGCCAAGCAGCTGTGAAAATATGTTAATTCACATGCAGAAGTGTTTGCAGAACATCTACTGCAAATACTCCCATAAAACATAATTTGCCAAGCACTACCAAAAACTAAGACTTTCGGGTTAGAGGAGGAGACAAGAAACGAAGTGCATCATGTCCTAATCTCTGTGGCAATTGGGAACTGGTTAGAGTACAATTTCCAGGTGATAATCATTGGAAATAGCTAGCACCCTAAAACTGAACAAAAACCTAACTCTCCTGGCAGTTAGATAAAGAAATGAAATCCCTTCTGGTCCCAAGACTGAATGCATCAGCCAGACAAGTCAATCAGCTGCTCCCAGAAGCCTCCTCTACAGTTTCACCTTTTCTTCTGTTTTAGATTTATTTATGGAAAGCAGAATGACATTTCTGCAGCCCTTGGACTCCAAAGTCTTCACTGTCTATCCTTTATATTTGCCTGCATTCTATAAACATTTAAATCATTTTATTGCCCATAGAACTTTATCCTGTAAAAAACAAGTCACAGAGATTATCAAGTTCCTTTTTAGGCATCTTTCAGTGTTAATTCTCAGAGATTCTTCTGCATCCTGAAGAGGAACTGCCCAGAGCACACACATACCTTGCGGGAAAGACTGGCGCTGCCCCCAGRTTGGCACCTTGGGCCGTTTTTAGCTCACCCTACCCACTTTGGTGCCCAGTGTCGTACCGCAGTTTCCGCCAGTCGTGGCTGGCACTTACCAGTGTGCTTTCTGCTGTGCATCTGTAAGTGGGACAGCTTAAAGTATCGCTTGTTGCAGCCAGGGTAGGCGCACATGAAGGGCCGCTTTTCGTTGGTCTCGCTTGCTGATCGGACAATCGTTGGAGCTACTCCAGGCACCCGTCGGACATCCTGCAAGGACACAGACTGGCTGATGCAATACATATGTTCTCAAGCTTTGTGTTAGCACTTTCAAACAGTCAAATACACTTCTCCGTGGCAAGGAAATACTGGAATATAGCACACTATATATATAGCACAAGGCTATTTTATTCTATTCTTCATTAACTAAGGGAAACTCCAGTAAATCTTAATTTGGTCTTTGCAGAGTATTAAACTTATGTGGAGGTCAAAACACAGTGACCTCTGCTTACTAAATTCCCTCACCAATATTTATAATTGAGATTAAGCAGGGCATGTTGATGTCATGTGTGRTCACAGAGTCTAAGAGGAACACTCACTGGCCATGAAATAATTTTAGGCTTCTACCAGTGAAAAGAGATGAGTATGAGCCATTCTTTATATTAAACTTTTATATGAAGTTAAAGGTTGGGATATTAATGTCTYGGATCAATGAAAATTGCTTAAAAAAAAAAGTGCAGTTGGAGCTGGAGGATAGCTCAGCCTTAATACAGTTTGGCCACTGTCACCGTGTTCCATCAAAAACAATCATCTCCTGGAAGAATTAACGTCCTTAAACAATGTTAACTGCTTGGTTCTAGCCACTCAACAAAAAGTTAGCTCACACRTCTGCTTCTGAGAGCTCCTTACTAAATAATGAATTGTGAAACCATACGGTCAATAAAAAAGAACAAAAGATGCTGTCTAAAAATGTTCACATATGTTGAAAACACAGATGACAGAACAACACAGAAGAGAAATATTATGTAATGACTTTGCCATRAGTTTAAAGAAGGTATATTTTTATAGTTATTTGTCAAGGCTCTAACTTCCRGAAAGGTAGAAAATTAACTCCCATGAATGATATTTTCCTTCCAGAAGTTTCTAAATTATTCACTAGGACACAATCGCTTACTATATTTTCTTTTGAGGAAATATGTTCAAATTAGTAAAACTTCAAAAATCCCTGAAATTAAAGTGCCATCTTTTCTGTACAATATTGGACTTAATCCATTGCAATCACAGAAGCCTTATATGGCAGAAGTGACCACAGCCAGTTGCTGGGCTTTCTATTTAGGACCAAGAAGCTGATAAGCAATATTGCCTCAAAAATGTATTTTAAAGGAGAAATTAATACTTTTGAAGAGCTGGGTCAGAAAGTAGTCCTACATTTTACTTGGATGAAGTCAGGACACACGTGATTTCAAGCATTTCTTGATAACAGGGAACCCACAAAGCAGGKCGGGATCTACAAACAGCAGTGCAGTAGTAAACAAACAGGGCAGCCAGGCCGGAGTCTGCTTCCGTGCGAAGAGCGCCCTGCTGTACTCACTTGGATGCCCCTGAAAACGCCGTGCGTGTGTATTCTGTACTGGGCCCCACAGCTGTACAGCATGGGAGCGCTGTGGTTCTCATTCTCGTATCCTGCTGTATGGCTGCGAAGGAAGCAGGGAAGAGAGGAGAAATTAAGCGGCTTTCAGCAGTCAGCTCCACGAGCGAGGCTGTGATGGCACCTGCAGAGGCCCCGTGCGTGGGCAGGGTGTCCCCGTCCCAGCGACGCTCCCCGGAGGCGGCTGCGTGGCTCTGCTCCCCCCGGCCCCGTGCCCCGACTCCACACACACGTCTACTCGCACCCATTAGGGCAGGCCAGGAAAAAAGGCACGGCCATGGCTTGGACTCTGATCTRTTTTCACAAAGATATTAGGTAGAGGGAAAAAATCCACATAGCAGCATAGCTGTGTCATGTGCACATGTACACATTATTTATCAGCTAAATGTGGGGCTGGCTATGGCTAATATCTTTTGGAATGAGCAAAATGCCTCAAGTTTCACATTAAGTGCAGTGGATTTTTGTCAGCACCTCATGACTCAGATATTACCAGATACTACCAAGAAAGTGATGACATTTATAAGAACAGCAGTCATGTACTCATAAACAGAGATTACAAATCAGTGTCCCAACTATTTATCCCACATACGAGCTTGCGGGATGCACTACAAATTAACCCTTAAAAACAACAACAAAGCCTATTCCTACTGGCTGTAAATAATCAGGATACCTCATGCAGCATCATGACGACAGCTTTAAAAACGTGTAGTTCTGTTTGGTTTTGGAGGATCTCACAACCATATGTTCATCTATTACACTTATTCTTCAAAATCCTACTTTCTGCTCTCCAGAACATTAAAAACATTGCTGTATCCCATGTGTCAAACCTCCTTGATGTCAGAAAGATGTAAATAAAGTTTAGCTTTTAAATTAGTAGCCACATGTATTAATATACCCTGGCAATGGTAAGTGCTCGTATTTTACCCTGCACTAGAAATTAGCCCAGAGCAAAGCCCAAGGGYGCACAGCCTGGGACAAAGATGGATACATAGGATGTTATCCTAGCCCTTGCCAAGTGCTTGCAATAGCAATTCTAGGGGGTCCCTGAGGCCTACACTCTCATTTCACTGGTCTTTCCTTTCTTTTTACTCAAAGTTCATGTGCAGAGTAGAGTTACAAGGAAGTTTTAAACCACTTAAGTGATTTGCAGAGCAGCCAGAGGAACCGGCTCGCAGGAGACATCTAAACAGCTTGTGAGCTTCACCGAGGAGGAGAGGAAGAGGTTCAGTGAACAGCTATTACGGCAGCATGCGGGCCACGTCTGACCTGCTCAGCCCTCATGCCAGCTTCAGGCCACCACCTGACAGATGGGCTTCTTCAGCTCAACCGTTGCTGCTTCAAGTCCTAAAAGCCATTGCAGGGCTCCTGGCCAGCTAGGACTTGTCAAGAAGTCCCTTCAGCTCCTCCTACCCAGGCAAAGGATCAAAGGCTACATCCTTTTGGAGACTCTACCCCATTACTTCAGTCCTAAGTGGCAAATAAGAGATCATAATGAAACAAGCTATAGGGCAATGGCAAGAAAATGTCATTGCTGAATTTTCCTCTCTATTTAAAGGCAGCAAAGTCTATAGATTACAGACTTTTATAGTCAAAGACTATAGACTTTGATAATAAATAATCTTATTAATTAATTAGAGCTTAAAAAGCACCCAGTCCATGATAACACTCATGTTAATCACAAATTATAGGGTGTATTTTCAAAAAAAAAGGGACATGAGAACTACCATCTTACAATGAGCAAGTTTCTGTTTGCAGCAGAAGCTGTTGCTGATCTGCAGAGCATTAGTAAATCAAGAGTAAATGTGAACTTCAGCATGAGGTACCCTGAATAGCTGTGTAACCTTCAATTCACACCTTTCCTAATGACCTTGCCCATAATAATAAACAAAGACAAAGAGATAAGAAAAATTCGCAGGGCAGAAGGAATTTTAGAAGGAAGAGGAATATCTAGCAAAAGCTTATCATACAGCCTAACATTTCCTTCAAATTCACATTTTCACTCCTCAGTGATTAAGACTTTTGTAAAAAAATAGTCCCTTCAGAAATAATTCCTCCCAGAAATAAGAAACCAAATAAACACCCTGGCCTGTGCCCTTGTCCCTATGAATGGGAGATCTCCATCCTAACWGCTCTTGCTCAGCTGGGAAGTCTTCCACAATGTTCAGCCTTTTCATTTCCATATTTCCTCCCATTATTTCTAAATATACCTCTCTATGGCTGAACATAAAACTGCAAAGCCTTGAAGATTTAAACCTGTTTTCRGAGGCTCCTGACCCATAATATACGAACTACCAAAGAGCCATCTACTTTAACAGCCCCGCTAGAGAGATTTTAAGGAGGAACCATAGTTTCCATTTCAAAGGATATCAGCATTGGCTGGTATTCAGCACGGCCACTTGGCCCGGGAGAGCAAAATGGGCTACATGGGATTTCTTGAGCCACAAGGCAGAATTTACTACAAAGCAGCATGAAATAATGTGATCTTTGGGGAGGTAGAAACGAACTGTTCATTCTGTGACTGTTCATTCAAATCAGTTAGGATCCTGGTACCCTGAAAGGAGTTTTCATAACCCATCCCTAGTCCTGTTCTCTTGAACRTGAACCTTCCCTCTGCATCAATAACAACCTCAAAAATAGGAACTTCCTTCTTTCAATTGATTTCCTCTTTGCTCAAAGCATCCATGTTGTAAACCACAAAATTTATACCACATTTTGCACAGTCAAGTTTCTTTATTCTGTTATAATCTATACACTAAAATAAAAAGAATTGACAGAAGAACCAGTATAAGTGCCTAACTATATCACTGAACCTCAAAACCTCAAATTCACCTCATTTGAAAGATAAAGATCCGAGGAAATCCTACATATATTAGCAATGAGAGTAAATGATGAATTTCCACCCGCAGGAGGGTTRGAGCTCTTTAACTTCTGTCCCTTCTAGTCTGGGATTAGATGTTTAACCAGGCAAACAACCAATGCCTCATACGCTTTGACCTTTACTAAGGCATGAAAATACTAAAAATTTGACCATATAGTCTCTGAGGAGCTGGCAGCATCCTACATCTCCCTCAAGCGCCACGAAGTCCACACTGCACATTGCAGATCAAATAACTATAAAGAAAATATGTTAGAGACTCTCTGGTGCTGTGCAGGTGAACACGGCTGAGCACTGATCCTTGGGACAGACCGCTTCCCAGAGGAGGAGCCGTGTGTTCTCCCAAGGAGATACCAAGGGACAATAAACAAGCACACAGATTTCCCCTGGAAAGCCTGGAGTTATCATTGGGAGCGACACCAGGCTGGTCCCTCTGCAAGGCCCACGAGCTTTGAGAACTAAGCAAGGCCAGACAAAGCCAAACTGGGGGGGGATCCAACAGGAATTTTTGCTTGAGTAAGGACTGCAGAATCAGGCATCATGATCTCTCTTGTTCTGCCTTTGCCTGTGAATACGCAACTCCTTTAACTTAAAGGAAGCAGCACAGAGGCAGAACTGCAGWATAAAATATTTAGCGTTCATCAAGTTAGTTGATGAAAAACTCACCCAAGCGTATTTGTTCTTTGGTTCTAGACAGTCATAAACAGACCTGGAAAAATATCCATGAAATGTAACTCCAGATAACTCCAGATAATGTAACTCCAGGCAACCAAGACTGGTACTTATGCAATATGAAATGCCAGGCAAGTGCTATCTGCCGGAGAGTATTTAGAAAGGCTTGCATTTCCCATTAGTCCAGCAAATCCTTAGCACTCGGAGAGTAGCTCTTTTAAAATGATTAATCTCTAAGTTGTACAGATTGTACAAAGATTAATAAAAATGAAGGTTTTACAGATGAGAATGTGTGATGAAAAACAGAGCAGCTTTAGAGAGTTGTATCAATCTAAGTGGTTATAAAAAAAACTCATAAAAGATGACATTCTAATCTGAATATTTTAAAAAATAATCAAGCTGCAATTTCTCTCTCACACCATTTTTACTTTGTTAAGCTGAAATTGTCTGTCTAATGCATAAACCAGCTACAACTTAATCTGAAGAGTTAAGCTTCTTTATTATTATTTCATAAACCGAAAAAGGGAAGCTTTAAGGCATACCGAGGAGAGTTAGAGAATTTCAGATGAAATGTGAATACACATTGATTCATGAGATTCAGACTTGGAAGAATTAAAAAAAAAAAAAAAAGGCCAGAAAGCAAGATTACATTAAACAGGCACCACATTAAGCCTCAATTTAATTGTGTTTCAATGCAGGGACAGGAATTTTAGGGTTTAGAAACAGAGCCAAAAAAATGAGGCAAAGTGAGGGTGTGGGCTAGTTCTGTTGATAACAGGACATAAAGGAAAAGAAGTAGAGCTAATTCTCTCTGCTAAAATATTTACCATCCTAGCACCATGGGAAAAAATACGTTTGGAGACAGCAAGAAGATTTTGATTAGTTATAGAGAAGATCGTATTTCTGCCTGCTCTTTGTCTAACACCATTGAGGAGGGTGGAGTGTAAAGCCGCATTTTTATCTGCACGTTGCAAGGCGAGGTAATATTAAAACCCGTGATTTCACAGATTACAGCCCTTCTGCCATCTGCAATGAGAAAAACAGCTGGTTAATGAAGCAAAAGCACTGGGCCTTCAGGAGACCCTAATCTCAACAGCTTCAATCGTGGGTTTTTTTTTTTTTAACCACTGACCTCAATGGGACCAGGGCTTCACTCAAGACTTCCCTCCAACGAGACACTCAGCTATCAGTAGGAAAGGGGAAATACAGTACTAGGAACAATAGGTCATCATCCATGTTGCCTGCAGAACTGAAGCTTTGTACTTCCAAATTTCACTAATTATACCTTCATAGGTACTAAATAAAACCTTTAGGAATCYCTCCTAGACAAACTGAGGTTTTGCTGCCTTGCTCTAGATGCAGTTTTAATGCTGTGCTACAGGATCATACCTCATTTTCTTTCCAGCGAGTCTGAGCAAAGAACAATCTCTACAAATGTCTATGGAAAACATTTCTTATTTAGCACCTGAATAAAAACAAGAGGTACCAAACTAAATTATATATGAGATTTCAGGTGGCTATAGCAAATATAATTCCTATTTYCTCATTCCTTTTACTCCGAGAAACAAAGAGAAAAGTATGCAATATTTCTATTACGTCTTGCTGCTGTGCATGCAGCTGTATTTCTTTGTCTACCAGGCACTTCTATTCCCTGCTTTGTATAAATTATTTCCACAGCACTTATACACAGAACTCATCAAAACAACAGTGAGTTTCATAGCCAYGAGGACTGTCTCTACAATAGTCTTATGGTGGGAGGCAGTATTTTCCTCCTTGTGCAAATGGGAAAGCAGCAGAACGAAACTAAGGATAGAAGCTAAGGGAAAAGATGTCCACTAATTCGGGGCATCCCTCCTGAGATGTTTAGGACAGCTGGGTTTGCCAAGTCGTAAGTGCAGGACCCACCGACTTTCCTGCAACAACAACAGATGAGGTCTCAGCTGTCCCAAAAGCCTTCCACAAACCACAAGCTTTTCCTTTCCAACCCTTGAAGTTGCTGGTTTGCGCCACAGTTCCTAGAGACACTAGGACAGCCCTTGACCACAGGCAAGCAGGCATCTCCTAATCAAAACATGAGCTCTCAGGCAGCAAATATGGACTAATCTCCGTTCACTTTACAGGGATTACAAGCACAGCTTGAACACAACCTTTGGTGTTAAGGACTGGATATGAGAATCTACTACGCAAGCTCAGGGTACTTGCACTTAATGGTAGCAGCAGCAGGATGTCTTCTCCTCACAGAGAAGCATATTTTGGGCTACTAGACATCTTTTTGATTTGCCAGCAAGTGAAATACCTGGAATTAAGCTTCTAGGTTCCCCTCTGCACTGTTGAGCAGTGCTGGTCCCACACCCTATTCCACACCTTTTATTGCCCACTTCTGCTTGACACTTGAGCTACTCCTCCTGCAGTTTCCTAAAGCCTACACCTACTAAAAGTGCTTAAAGACTAAAACCCACAAAGATGACAAAACTCCTTGTCCTGAGCTCCAGTATCTGACATTAAAATATCCAGAGAGGAAAAAAATTCATCAAATCTGCTAAGTCTTAAAGCCACAGGCCGAAGCAGGCTCCAGGCAGATAAAATCATGAGATAGTTGCCAGACTCTTGCTTCCACTAATACTGCACAGACGGGACCATCAAGAAGCTCACAACTCAACTTCARTGGTTTGCACAATGGCTCAAAAGGACACGGATTTGGCCATCCGACAATATCCCTTGCCAAACATCAAACTTCTCATCCAAAGTGAGAAGATTCTGGAGCTGATCAATCAAATACTGGCAAGACTGCAAACAGCTAAAAGCAGAAGGCTACCAGAGCAACTGCTGGACAGCTTAAGCATAGAGCGACGATGGGTCCCACCTAAACCACACRGCATTTGCTTCATTTCAGTGCATCAAACTTCCACGTGCCAGACAACGCGCTACTGAACTGGTCTTCTATCCAGTACACATTGCACAACCCCTAAGTTTTATATAATTGTAGAATCCTCTAATTACTTGTGAACGTTACTTGGTAAGGTTTTCTTGTTTGCTATGAAGTAGAAGCCTTAGCTACGCTTAGCTAAGTGCTTGGGAGAACTCAAGTCAAGGAGCTAAATAAGGACTGTCATCACTGGACGGAATATAGAAGCTCCATATTTCAGCAGAAAGAYTGATTCCAAAATTCTTAAATTACAACTACGAGATTGAGAAAGTAACTGAAATACTAAACGCCTGAGAATCGCTTATGAACAGATCATATATTTTAAAGATGTAAATCTTGGGAAGAATACCTTAAGTTCATGGCAACTGAGATTGGAGGTGCTGCATACTGTAACTCTTAGCCAGAAAAGACAGATAACTATTTTGGCTCATATTACCAGTGATGAGGCTATGTCTAGTGCTGATTTTCCACAGATTCTACAATCTTGGCCTATACCAAAACTTTGAGCTTTGTTTTACCATAGATCATTCATCTTGATTTTTTTCTCTTTCTTTTTTCCTCCTTTCATGCATCCTAGGTCACATACTTTACCCTGCTAACAGTCTGACTCCTGGACAAGTAAGAAGCCATTTATTTTGCTCAGTACTCCTTTAATATTCCTATTGTGTCTTTTTTTTTTTTTTTCTTTTTTTTTTCTTCTTCACTGAATTCCCCAAAGAATAACCTCTTCCTTGCTTTAATAACTTGGACCTCGGTCAAGGTTGATGTGTTTCTCCATTTTGCAGGATATTTTCTCCAGAAGAGACAAAACAGTGTCTAATATTGAAATGACTGATTTTTAAAGGGTAGGCTTTAAAGAGGAAATCACAAACACTTCAGGAAAAAAAAAAAAGAAAAAAAAGAAGAAAAAAGGGTAGGAAATAACCTTTAAAAGAGAGAGTGGGCGCGGTACACAGCTGTGGGAAGTGGGGACCTTCCCGCAGCAGCAGCAGCAGCAGCAGCAGCAGCAGCAGCAGCAGCAGCGCTGCTCGGCGGCTCCCTGCAGCCCCGGCTCGCGGCCCACTCCCGCGCGGATCGTTTGCTGCAGGGCTGCCTCGCGCCTCCACCCTTCAGGCGCGGCGTGTGAACGGGCTGGGCGCAGCCGCCCGGCGCTTGCCCCTTTACCCCGCTGCAGCGCCGCGCACTCCGCGCCGCCGGGCGCAGCGCAGCCCACGGGAGCCCGCGCCCGCTGCGCGCTCTTGCAGCCCGGCTCGTGCAGCTCGCGTGGGCCCGCGGCGCGGCGCGACGCGCAGCTGCGGCACCCGCGTGCGGCGGTGCCGCCGGTGCGGGGCCGCTTCGGGCGCCCCTCGCGCGCAGCGAACGCCGCGGGGCCCGGCGGGCCGGGGGCGGCGGCGCCGCGGGGCCTTCCTGGCCGCGCCGCGGCAGGAAGCGGCGCGGGGGAGGCGCCCGGAGCCTCTTCCCGGCAGGTGGGAGGGAGCGCGACAATGGCCGGGAGGAAGGAAGCGGGAAGCGGGAGGGCCCGCGCGCAGGGAGCCGCCGCGGCCACGGGACGCGAGCGCCGGCTCCGGCCGCGCCGCGCGGGTGGGAGGGAGGACGCGGCTTTTCGGCCTCTCCGCGTTCACTTCGTAAAATAACACAGAAAGGAATTGAAACGTGACTGCGCTAGGGAAGAGCCCGGGATGAGAGAGCGGCTTACCCCTTGAGCGTGGAGCCCAGGTTCATCTGGTTCCAGGTCATGCATTCGAGCTGGGAGGTCATTTGGTATAAATTGTCGCTGTGASGAAAATAGGGAGAATTAGAACTAAAATCGCGGCGAACTGAGCAGAAATAAGTCAAAAGAGAAGCATCATTGTTCGTTTCCTCTCTTAAAACACGCAACAGCGGCAAGCCGATTTGTTCTTTATAGCCGCAATATAACAACGATTACAAACMTAAAGTGGGGCACGGAAAAGAAAAGCCTATTTTGCTCTACAGGTTTGCTCATTTCCCATCGGCCAGAGACCTTTCCGCCCACATTTTCCCCGCGGAAAAGCGGCCTCCGATAGGGACCCGTTCCCGCTAACGAAAGGTGTCGCGGCGGGCGGCGCGTTCCCGCGGCGCAGAGCGCGGGGCGCCCTCGGGCCCCGCCGCGGGGCACGTTGCGGGGCAGCCCCCGCACGCGGAAAGGCGCGAGGCGGCCCCGCGCGTGCCCGCGTGTGCGGTGCCACGCGTGAGCCGGGACTGCTCCCTCTTCCCGCCACTTCCCCGTTCGCCGTGCTGGCCTGTGCCAACTCCGCTCTGCAATTCCACGAATTCTTCCTGTAAGGCTGCTGTAATTAATTCCTCCAGGACCCTGATTTTTATTAGAAGTACCCGCCTGGTGCATTTACAGCAGGAGATTTCCCTTTAACTTTCTCTCGCTTGACAGTTCATTTATAAGGGCCTCCCCCACAATATCCACTTTCCCCCCTCCCCGCCTTCTCATAAGGCGACGCACTCACTCATCTTGTCACCGGCCGCCCCCCCTGCGCCGCGGGGACAGCGGCCCCGGCGCGGGGCGAGCGCGGCCCGAGCCCGCTGCGGGGCCAGCGGCGCCGCCCGGGGACGCAACCTCTGGCCCTGGGGAGCTGCTCGTCCCCGGCTCCGCTCGCCCTTCTTATCGCAGCACCGCGGGGTGAGCTCATGGAAGCAGCCGCTCCGCTCCCAACCCGGGCTTGGAAAGAAGCGGCGCTTGGGAGAGGGAAAGCGCCGTCCCTGGGGAAACGCCTGCGCTGCTCCCGACCTGAATCACCGGCCCTCCAAACGGCCACGCAGAGGACACTAAAAATAACTTATTTTCATTACAGAGATGCTTTTAAAGAGAAACGAGAGGAAGGGGAGGTGGGGGGAGCATTTCTACAACGGGGATTAATGTAAGTTGGAGTGGAATAAAAGGAAGTCAACGCTGAGCAAAAAGGGAACTTAAAAGGAAACCAGTAGTAGATCATATRGAGTTTGTTTTGGCCTGCACTGCAGTATTGCCGAGTTCTTGACCTCTGCACAGAAAGAGCTATAATCTGCACCGAGACTCCTCCACTTTTAAAGTCTTTGTAAGTGTGACTCACAGTAAATTTTCAGCATCGGGCATGCTTACTACGTTAGGCAGCGCGAGGTAGGGAAGTTCACAGCGCCGTGCAACGAAGGCACCCAGAGGCGCGGGCGGCCAGGGTGCCCGTGCGCGGCTCTGTCACCACGTCCAGCGACAGGCAGAGGCGCTGCGAGCGGAGCCAGCACTTGCCGAGGCCACGTTTGAGAGACGCTCTTGCTTGCGGGGTCTTCAGTGACGGTCTTGCCACCGGTTCTTTCTCGCCGCCTTCCCGACCGCTTTGCCCCAAGTCCACGGTGAGGGGCCGCGCCGGCAGCAGGGCCCGGGGCGGGGATGAGCGGTAGCGCTCTTGCCTTGAGCATCCCGCGGCGCCGCGGCCAGGTCCCTTCAGAACGGTAGCAGTGGCAGTAATAACAATAATATTAATAATGCTCCGAATCGGCTTCGACAATGCTCCAAATCGGGTTTCGATCGGGTTTCAGTCACTTTTCCAGGCCGTTGCAGCCGTGGCTTGAGTCCCATTCATTTCTGCACGGCGATTAGCCCCCCTTTCCTTGACTACTCTCTCTAGGAGAGGCACTCGTGCAGCAGGATAATCGTGAAGGGACAAGTTTCCTTTCGTTTCGTTTTTCAGGTGTTTTTGAGCGGGGGGGACGCGGGGCGAGAAGGGACCAACCGACTTGTCCAGCCAGGAGCGGCTCGGGACAAACGGGAGCTTCCCTCGCCCTAGGACAAGCCCTCATCCACACTCCCCGCAGCAACATCGGCTCCCGGGGGCGTTGAGGGCTCAGTCCTCCTCCGAGCCGCAAGCCTCCCAGGGCGCGCGGCYAGTGCCGTTAACGCAGGTGAGAACGGCCGCAACGGCGGGAGGGCGCGAAACGGCGGCGTTTCCTCCAGGTGACGCCTCCCGCGCCAAGCGGCTCCGCRGCAGCGACGCCGCGGGCTAATCTCGCGGCAGAGGCTCCTTTCCTTCCTTCATTACCTCACTCCCTCCTTCCCTTGACGTCAACTCGTGGCGAAGCGGCTTCTGGAAGTGACAGCATTTTGTTGTCCCGCGTCCAGCGCGGATGAATCAGCGGCGCTGGAGGAGCCCGCGAGCGGAGCCCCTCGCCGCTTCCTCCGCGCGGGAACATTGTTTTGTGTGCGCGGGTTACTTAGCAACCCCCGATACGGGACCGGCTCCAAGTTCACAAAAAGTTGAAGAATAAATTTTGGGTAACTTCTTTGCTCGCTAAACACGTTGTAAAACTGCGAACGGCGCGCCCAGCCCCCAAGCCAGGCCGAGGGGAGCGGGAAGCGGCGCTTGCGGAGGACACTTCTGCTTGCGGAGACAGCCCGTGCCTGGAGCAGCATCCCACAGACCCCTTCCTCCCGGCACGGAGACCCGACAGCTTCGTGGCCCCGCTCTCAGAAAAAAGCCGCTCCGCTGGCCGGTCTACTCGAGGCCGTCGAGGGGCTCTTGGTGCAAGCATGGAGCTCTYGCCCGAGCTCATTTTTCGTTGCGTGCCCGTGGCCGAGCCGCGATGTGTCCGTCCTTGCTGCTCCTCCCGGGCTCTGACCGCCCCGGACGGGTGCAGAGCGGCGCCTGTGCCCGCGGAGGTGCAGGGGAAGGCGCCGCGGCCCGGCGGGTGCCAGGCTGAAGGGGAGCGTGGGGTTTTGTGTGTTTGTGTGATGTTATTTTTTGTTTGTTTTGTTTAAATTTTTTTTCTCTTTTTGCAATAAAGGGCCAAAAGGGTCGTTTCCCGCAGAACAAAGCAAGCCGTTTGAAAGGCGGCGCCCGAGCAAGCAGTCCCGCGAGCAGCGCGGCGGGCCGGGCCAGTACCTGTTGTAGGGGGTCCGGAGGAGCAGGGCCTGGCTGCCCGCGCAGCTCTCGCTGGGGGTGTGACAGCCGTAGACCTGCGGCGGCACCGAGTACTGCTGCTCACCTGCGGAGAGAGCGGCCGAGTCAGCGCGGGGGTGCGCGGGGTGCGTGGGGTGCGCGGGGAGCGCGGCGTTACCTAGCGGGGTCTGCTGGCCCACGGCGTCCTCGTGCTTGAAGGAGTGGCCGCTGAACTGCGCGGCGTGGTGCGCGGGCGGGTGCCCGTAGCTCGGCGCGCCCTCGAAGGCCACGGCGCTGTACCCTGCGCAGAGCAGCGCCGTTAGCGGGGCCCGCGCCGGGCGCGACGCCGCGCGCGGGGCCGACACTCGGAAGTGTCAACCGTGCTTAAAGAGAACAGATCGGCCGCGGCAATAAAAAAGGATGTTTTCATTAATTGTTGCTCATATTAAAGAGGAAGACTTCCATCTGCTCTGTGTACTCCTCTGCTTTTTCCAATTTAGAAGTTACCCTTTAATCTCTCTCCTTTTTTTCTCCCTTATTTTTTTAATAAAGAGTCTGCAATAAAGAGGCGGAATGTTTCGTGCAAAAATAAAACTCCTCCTTTCTGGAGGAAAAAAATCCCAAAATAATAAACATCTTATTTTGTTTCCTAGCCCGAGCAGATTCTGATGGAAAGAGACCACCTCTGCTGACCCCGGGCCGACACCGCATCGTAAATCAGGTGCTTGGACACCAACTTTCATTAATGACTTGGAGCTGGCTAAACAACTTCAGCTAAAAAAGTAATTACGAAGTAATATTATCTCAGCGACTTCTCGGCTCATCAGCATTTACTCGAGCACCGAGCTCTGCCGAGAGTCATTCTTCCAAAACGCAAAACAACCCGCAAAGCCCACGCGGGCTGGGAAAATCCCGCCGCGCTCCCGCACACACGTAGCTCTCGCGACCTGCTGCTGCGTGGGGTTGTTTTCACGGGAACGTGGGGCTCGTGGCGGACGCGGCGGGTCGGGGCTGCCGAGCGCTCGCGCGGGAGCTGCAGTGTCACCGCCACCGGCGGCACGGGGGGCGAAACGGGGAGGCGGCCACGGGACCCAGCCCGTTGTCCCTTCTTCGTTTTAGCGGCTCTGCCGGCCGCCTGCACGCCCGGACGGTACGGGGCTGAATTAACCTGCGGGGCTGTGTGGGGGAAACGAAGGCAGCGAGAGGCGCGGGAAAAAAAAAAAAAAAAAAAAAAAATCCCCAGGACTGTGCAATCTTGTCTTCCGCGGCGCTTTTAAGCCAGCCCGCGGGATGGAAGCGGGACACACTTGGTTTCTGCCAACGCCGCAGCTGCTTCTCGCTGCTCGGTCTCCTCCTTAGCCCTCGGGCAGAGGCGCAGCCTGCAGCCCCTTTATCCCCCTTCCCGCTGCCTCTTCTTGTGCTCGCTCAAAACACTGACACAGTCTACGCTGCTTCTGRCCCGCCTCAGACTTTCGGTGACCTTCAAAAACGCGCTCGGAGCAGAACGATGTTTTGGCCGCATTTTCCGGTGTTGCCTGACCCAAAGCTTCAGGAATTTGATAAGAAAGCCGAGTTCTGAACCGAGCTGCCGATAGCGAGGGCTCTTTAATTAGGGCGTTATCAGAACCAGGCCTGATTAAAATGTGCTGAAAATAATTAAAAGTGGTCCATCTGCCGCAGCACAGGGCCCGCCGCAGGAATCTAGTTGTTGGAGGAGCCCATCTGCATGAAAGAGACGGGCGAACGGGAAGAGGAAAATTGGGCAGAGGTTTCAAAGCCCAGTTTCCCCCCACAGTCCGCCCCAGACTTGGCAGAGATGTCATCGCAGAGGCAAGGTGGTGTCTTTCCCACGCTCGGGGGAACTGTCTTAAAAAAAAAAACCTCGCGAGTTCAACCTTGAGGAGAGCCAAAGCAAGAACATTTTATCCATCCCCAGAAAGAAAAAAAAAAAAAAAGAAAAGAGAGAGAGAAAGAATAAAAGAAAAAAAAAAGAGAGAGAGAGAAAAGCAAAGCAAGCGAACATCCTCCACGGATGCCTGCTCACCGCGAGCTCCGCACCTGCGCGGCTCTAGCGGGGCGCTGCGCGCAGAGCCCRGGCCCGGCTCTCCCCTCGCTTGGGAGCTCCGCACACCGACGCTCCCGCCACATCCTGGGCTCCGCGCAAGCTGCGCGCCCRCCCGCTCGGGCCGAGGCAGCCGCCGCCCGCGGGGCTGCCTTTGTGCCTGAACCTGAAGGTTTCTCTTCAGGGGGCCCAAGGCAGGTGAGGTCGGAGGGCGCGATGTCGCGGCTACCTGCACCGCGAGCGAGCCGGGATTTAATCCCCGTCACCGTTCCTGCCCGCACTAGAGCGCTCCCGGGGCCGCGGTGGTGTCGGACGCGCTCCCGTCGCGGTCCTTCCTGGCCCGCGGGTCCCCGCGCCGCCCAGCAGAGCTGCGGGGCAGCCCGCAACGCCCGGCCACTCGCCACGCGGGCTCCACGGGCCAGGCGCGGCCAGCGCACCTGCGCGCGGGCCCGCGGCTCCTTGCAGGACGAGCCCCGCGGGCGATCCGCCCGCCGGCTGCTGGCGGCGAGGCCGGCGGGGAGCCGAGCCCGCTCTGCGGCCGCTTGAGGGGAGCCGACGCGGAGATAACCCGCGCACGCAGGCCGAGTGAGCGGCCGCGTCGGCCCCGCAGCCTGCGGCGCCCACGGCCGTGCTCGAGGGAGAGCCAAAGCTCCGCGGCCCGCGTCGCTTCTGCGCGGATACCGCGGCCCGGCACCCCGAGAGCGCAGGGGGAACCACGGGCGTCTCGAAAGCAGCATCGGGAGGACAATATGAAAAAGGCGAACCCAAACCAAACCCAAACCAAATCAAACCGAAATGCTTGGTCCGAGGGCCCCCTTGCCGCGGCAGGCCCGGCCGTGCGCGGCCCAGCAGGCCAGTGCCGCGAGGCGAGCGGCGGCCGGCGGCTGCGCGCTTACCCTGGTTGCGGATGGCCTGCTGGCTCTCCAGGCAGTTGGGCAGGTAGGGCGCGTTGGGGAAGACCCGCGCCTGGCCCGCGGGCGGCTGGCTGGGCGGCGGCGCGCCGAAGGGCCCGTAGCGGCAGGCGCCCGCCGTGCCCGTGAACTGGCCCGAGAAGTGCACGGTGAATGCGCTCAGGTACTGCTCCTCGTGCGGGTCCGAGCCGCTCCAGCTCGGCTCCTGCTTGATGAAGGAGTGCGGCCCCAGCGAGCCGTAGGAGGCTCCCGGCGGGAAGTCCAGGACGGGGGCCCACTGCGCCGCGCTGCTCACCGGCATGGCGCAGTTGCCGTTGCCCGCTAAGGAAGGCACGGACGGCAGCAGCGCGTTGAGGTCCCGCACGTCGGACCCCATCTGCTCGCAGACCTTCTGCCTGCCGCCGGGCAGCCAGTCCGCCCCCGGGCCGCACTTATTCCAGGAGACCTGGCCCCTGCCCGCCAGGCCGGGGGCCGGCTCCGGCTGCAGGCACCAGGCGGGCGAGCCGAGCCCCTTGGGCGAGGGTTGCTCCGCGACGCAGCTGCCCGGGTCCAGCCCTGCGGGAGCCGCCAGCAGCGGCAGGGAAAGGTTGTTCTCCAGGGTCGCCTCCGGGGGGGCCCCCGCTCGCGGCGCGGCGCTGGGTGCGTGTGCGTGGGCTCGGGGCACAGCCGCCGCGCACGCCTCACCTCGGATGCCTGCTCGCCCTCAACTTTGCAAAGCTCAAATAGAGGCGCTTGCAGCGGAGGAGGAGCCAGCGGCGCCGATCCTCCATTCACGCGCGCCCCGCCGAGGGGCTGCCCCCAGCCCGCGCTGCCGAGGCCCGCCGCGGGGGGAGAGCTTGCCGCGGGGAATATATCTCCCCTGCACGGCTCTCCCACCCCCGCTCTGCTGCGAGCGCCGCTCAGCCTCACCCTCGCGCCCCTCCGCCTCGGGAGCGGCTCGCAGGGGGCCCGGGGAGCCGGGTGGCCAGTAAGTACGGGCGGGAYGGCTTCTCTGACCACTTGCGGGGCCGCGGGGCCGGGGGCCGCGGGTAGAAGCCGCTGCCCGTGCAGGGAGGAGGGGAAGGGGTCTGGCTGCCCCCTCGCGAGGGCGAAGCGCCGCTCCAGGTGCCGCTCAAGGGTGCTCTCAAATCTTCGTGAGCGGCAGCCTCTGCGGAGGCGCCGGAGCCTCCCGGGACGCGTCTCGACGCACCGCGCGGGAGCCGCTGCCCCGGGAGCGGCACCGAGAACCCTGTCGAGGGCCAGCAGAAAGGCGGCCGCGCAGAGCGGCTCCTCCTGGCAGGAGAGCCCCMTCCTTGAAGGCAAAGCGAGGTAAAAACGCGAGGGACGTCACCTGCCCTCGGGGGGACGGAGGCTGCTGTCCCGCGAGCGCCGCTCCCGCCGCGTGCGCTCCTTGTCCCGCCGCCCTTGCAACAACGCGTCAAAGCTCGAGCGGCAGCCGCTGGAATAAATTAAAACGGTTTCCTAATAGGGAAGCCAAGGTTTAATTTCCCATTTAAACTATTTAACAGAAACAATCGTTTCCGTTAAGTATTTAATTTTATTTATTTTTTCACTATCGCTATCACTATCGCTAATCCTTTTTTTTTTTTTTTTTTTTTTTTTTT